TCAATAAATGATGATTCTGATCAATAAATGATGATTCTGATCAACAAAACATCTTCTGAAGGAAAAACAGAAGAAAAAAACATTTATCCATTCTACTGTATGTGGCACATTTTACCCATACACAAAAGTAAAAAAAAAAAAAACTCATGAGAATCAGGTTTCAAACTGACATGCACAATGGCAAATAGCATAAAACTTTTTTTTAGCCTTAGCAGTCATGTCTTAAATATCGTTATTACAGAGGGTGCCGACAAATCCCTATCGGTTTTCTTTTGAACATTGTACCGTTACAGGTATATCCATTACTGCATGGTTGGTAAATTATTTGAAATAATGGATAAAAACAGTGACTATTATTAAATTCCATTCTGTCCATCCTCGAGTCAATCCATCCATCAAAAGCAATCTCTTAGACATACATTGGCCAAATTCGTTTACACAAAAAAATACATAATATATTTATTACACTGTAATATACAATGATATGTCAGCTTTTGTTTAAGTAATACGATTTATAAAAGTAGAAAAAAAGAACCAATAAATACAGCTAATCTAAGGAATAGTACTATGTTTATTAATAAATGTTTTTAAAAACAAACTATTAAGTACCTGTTTGATTAGGAGTATGTCTTGAGTATTCATTATTGTAATGATCTTGTTCGTCTCAGCTAGGTTTTCAAAGTTTAGAATTTGTTTTGAAAAATGGTTATACACTTCTACATGCTCAGTGTTTTGATTGTCACAAGTTGTAATAAAATTCATTTTGTCTTTCACTACATTACACTTTTTGCATAACCCATCACATAACACGTACATGTCATACATATGCAAATCAATTTTTGTTTTTTAATTCAATGAAACATGACTACTGTAGAATACTTTATTTTCGCTTTGAATTTATTTTCGCTATTTTCGCTGAAGGGATGATTCCGTGAAAATAAAATCCAGCGAATATACTTTTTTTCCTATATTTCACATTAAACTCATCAAAAATCAGTGAAAATAAATTCCATACAAAACGCCCAAAAAGCCTTTTCAGCAAAAATTAATTCCAGCGAAAATAAAGTATTCCACAGTATTGTAAAATGCTGTAATTGTCAAATAGTCCCAAATCCTATTACATTCACAACTGGTTCTCGGTGATGAATGGGTATTTTTTAATAAAACTTGGTTTAATAATAATGCATATTATACTGGTAGTTGCACATTTCTTTCAAGATCTAATTCAAGTTGGCTGTTTTTTAGCTCCGCTGTCAACTTTGTCGAGCGGAGCTTATCATATGAGTGATTGTCCGTCGTCGTCCGTGTCAATGTTTTACTTTTTCAACTTCTTCTTGAAAACTACAAGCCTGAATGTTTTGATTATGGGTGTATATGTACCTTGGGTAGACCTCTCTCAGATTTGTTCATTTCATGATGATATCTTCAATTCTCTAATTTTGGTGAATATTTTTGTCATTTTTGGTAAAAAGTGATATTTTCGACTTCTTGTTAAAAACTGCAAGTCCAATTGCTTTGATATTACATATATAGGTACTACATGTGGATCTCTCTCAGATTTGTTCATTTTGTAATGATATCTTCAATTCTCTAATTTTGGTGAATATTTTTGTCATTTTTGGTAAAAAGTGATATTTTCGACTTCTTGTTAAAAAGCGCAAGTCCAATTGCTTTGATATTAAATATATAGGTACTACATGTGGACCTGTCTCAGATTTGTTCATTTTGTAATATCTTTAATTCTCTAATTTTGGTGAATATTTTCGACTTCTTGTTAAAAACCACAATCATTTATGGTGAAAAATGATAGTTTTGAATTCTTGTTGAAAACAGCAAGTCCCATTGCTTTGATACTATACAATATTGTTCATTTTTTAATGATATCTTCTGTTCTTTAATTGAAATGTGCATTGCTAACAGCGGAGCTATCTCAGCCGATAGGCTGCTTGTTTTTTTTCACTACCGGGTGTACTAGTATGTCTCAAATTTACCAAAATTCTTTGCAGTTGCAATTTACACATAATAAGAGCAGGAAAAACAACATTTATATTTACTGACTCCTAGGACAAAACCAAATTAAACAAAACAATATTTGGGTATAATCTATGAACAAATCACAAAATCATTTGACTCTGAAAATAATAATAATAATAATAAATAATAATAATCGACACATTTCAAAATCATTGTTTGTTACATAGTATTTTTTGTGTCATCACTTTCATTTCTCAATTGTTCACAGACTATTCATTCATCGAGCGCCAGATCAGTTTCACCTCGTCATGATATTCCACCAGCACGGACACCACCGCAAGCTCCGGTAAATGTAAAGTCTTTACCCCCACCACCATCACGCCCCCCACCCACGCTACAGTCAGCTGCCAGTGATGCACACCCAAACCATGGGATTTCAACACAATTACTTAACAATGAACATAAACTGAAAGGCTTGAATTTAAAGTCTTCACCAAAGGAGAAAACCCCTGGTAGTAGTTCAAACTCTAGTCCAAGAATTCGTAAACCGCCAACGCGTGCTCCTCCAGCACCCCCTCCAGACTGCTAATAATCACTTTTAATAATAATATAATACATAAAATAATATGCGATATTTGGAACATTTGATTGCATTAACAATAACCTGTAATTATCTTGAGAGGGGTAGTGATTCAGATGCTGACCGACTGTCAGCAATTTAATGGTATTTTTTCAAAATGTCCTAATTTTTTCAATAATTTCAAAAAAAGCGCCAAAGTGTTTTCTGTTAAATTTACTGTTTTAGGCCCAAAATATTTAGAAATATCCCATGACACTAGTTGCCATTTTGGAAAAAAATTTCCTAAGCTAATTTTGAGACAAACAAATGCCTAGGTAAGGAGTATTTCTATAGAGATTTCATTTGAGTTTGTAGACACAAAGTTATTACATGAATGGATAAATACAGTGAGATATTAGTCTTATGGTTGCTAAGTTACACCATATTACCACTACCTGGGTGGTATCCTAACTTATCCACTGTACATACTATCAGTACTACCGGTATAAAGCAGAAAATCATTTTGTAGCATTATTTTTTTATTTGATGTTAAATCTATTTTTTGATAATATAGATAATCAATCACAATCACTTTCGCAAAATTTTGTTTTCGTGAATGATTCAAAATTATCTAATTGCAAAAATTACAGTAAACACAAACATGATTTGTATGGGGAGTTAGCAAACTTCCTAAGAAAGTCCTGATGAACATTGAAATATAGCACGGGAATGATAGAATGTTATGAAAACATCTAATATTATTTTCTACATTTTGTGACAGTCTCACTTCCCTTTGCACTACTTAATTTATTTCTATTTACGTACATATGGCTAAGTTGTTTTCATATTGCAACAATATTGTGACTAGACAAATGAAGTTGTAAATCATCTGTGCAAATCCTATTGTCTGGAAGAAGTTGATGGGGTTGTTGGAACACTGACTGACTTTCCCAGGGAAGTTACAATTTACCTGTATGAATCATGTTTGCACCCGCTGGAATATAATGAATTAGACAGATTACAGTACTGTGATGCCATGATCAGACAGGATTAAATAACAAACTGTTGTATTCAATATTAATTGTAAAGATAAATTGATATATATATACTTTTTATTGTCTATATTTAAGAAATGTATGTAAATAAAAATATTATGGTTACATTTTTTTACTAATAAAAATTGAAAGATCATTTCTAACAACCTCTTGTATTGTGTGTGTATTGTATTTACCAATAAAAGTTAATATGTCTGTATAAATGAATCCATGTGTATCAAGGGAAACCTGTATATAGGGGTACACAATGTTAAGAAATTTTAATTTAATTTTACCACAAATTTGTTAAGTTTGCGTAGCTTAGGGTTGAAGAAAGGTTCTAGTTATAGGATCTCTATTCCATGTGCTACTACCGCTATAATTTAAGTTAAAGTTTGTATAATGTACCTATTTCATTGAATTTAAGTTGAACTGTCTTCTGTAATGCTGGAATGAGACTATATTCAAGGACAGTGTACAACCATAGTCACTAGAAAGAACATGCAACTGAGTTATTTTCTTTTATCTTGTGTCTATTCTTGAATTCACATATCTTGTATACAAAATGTTTACACAGGTTGGACAAATAAAAATTATCCCATTTCCCAAGAAATGAAATGAACAAATTAAAGCAATCATGTCTATAAGTACTGGTAACATCAGTTGCATTTCAAAGAATTAAATAACCATTGATTGATAATGTGCAAAAACAAATTCTGCTATTTAGGGAATGTTACTGGGTAAAGAGTGGACTCTGTACTCGCCTTTGGCCACTGCATTACAGTGACCCATCCTGGACATCTGATGGGTGCCTGGCGAGCTGTTTGAGTACTGTTGAAGGCAGTATAAGTAATGGCAACTATTTACGCACAGACAGGGACACTGGCTGGAAATTAGGAAAACAGTAGCACACAGTGATCAAGGTGGTGTTGGACAAAATCACTCACTCACTCACTCCTGTAAAATCAAACATATACAACTGACATTGCACGGAACACCCTTCCATTGTCTTTGTTAGTGTCTTTCTAATTTCTGTGGTACAACACAGGCATATTGTCATCCAGCAGATACACTGAACAACATTAAGATTAATGTTGAAAAATCCATTGATGTTTGAAAATTGTTGTCTTTTATATGGCTCACCAGTATCCATTTCATTCTCACTACCAAATTTTCAACCAAATTTGTTTGTATGCCCAAATTTGTTTTTGAAACGTTCAACAAAAAATTTAAGTGGCATGTTGGACAATTTTTTGTTCTCACCAAATTATTGCATATATACCAGTACTTAAATTTATTATTATTGAAACATATAAATGATATAAAAATAATGTTCTGAAGTGCAAATTTTTCTAAAATTAATCTGGATACTATTTATTCATTCAGACAAGTTCTTTTTCTTCCTGAGACAGTAAAGTGAAAGTACAAAATTAAATTACCTATAAACAAGTCATTGAAAATGACACAGTCCCCGTTAAATTTTTGAAAGTTCTCTTTGTGCTTATCATATTAAAGCGGAGGGGTTGTCGCGAGCGTGTCCTTAAAACTTGAGTTCCAAGTGGCGTATACAACAGATTGTTTATTTACATCAAAATACGTGTTCCGTGTAGTAGTAATATGGCCAAAAATAAAAACAGCCGTTATTCGGCCGTCTTTGATCTGATTATGAAACACACTGATATGTATGATGTATGTGCCAAATACGAATGAAAATGGTACATAAATTGTGGAAATATAGTAGTAAGGCCAAAAAGTCAGATGGCTG